GCCTGCGCTGCCCGCGGGATGCGGCTCCGCGCGCCCTCTGGTGGTGGCTTGCGGAAGAGCAGCGCTCGCCCCAGGCTCGGTTCCTCTTTCGCCCCGGGGCTGGGTCATTCCCCACCGCACACCAGGGCTGCTGGGGCGCCTGGACTTCACCTCTCTCGGAGTTCTTCCTGGTCAGAGCTGCCCAGCCCTCACCCTTTCCCCCGGCCGTCCTTGGGCCTGGAACACGCCCTGCCAGCATCCTTGTTCCCATAGGTGTGGAGATGGCTGGGAAGCCCCTGGGGGCATTTGCTGAGGGCCCCTACCTGCTGGTGCTGTGCCTGCGGGCAGGGGGCAGCCGGCTCAGGCCCCCATGCATCTGCACTCCCTCGGTCCTCCAGCCGGCATTTATCAAGCACCAACTCTACGCCAGTTTCTGGGGTTGCAGGAAACGCAAGGTTAGAGGCTGGGGGTAAGGGGGCTCTGAGGGGCTACAGGGGGGTCCTGGAGGTCTTGGGGAGGGGTTGGAGTCGGGTGCAGCCTGGGCCAGCCAGGCAAAGGCCCAGCTCAGTGGAGATCCAGGAGCCACCCTGGCCGGGTCCCAAGAACAGGTGTCCGACGCGCCTTAGGGGCAGATGGGGAAGGCAGCGGGCGGGGTCAGGGTTTGGCACCCCCACATTCAGCCCTTGTGTCTTGAAACCCCCACCAGTAAGGATGCTGAGTCCTGGACTTCGCCCTCCAGGCGTCTGGGGCTTGCTCTGGAGAAGATAAGCGTGGGGCTCTCACCCCTGCCAGACTGAGATAAGGGGCAGGTGGGAGAGCCCAGTCCGCAGAGGGGAGTCGTCCTGCGGTCAGTGGGGGACATCTGTGAGGGCCCTCGGCTGGGACCTGGGGGCCCAGGTCCTGGAGCGGGCAGGGGACAGCGACTGCCACGGGGGCTGGGTGCCTTCGGCTGCAAGTGGACCACGTGACTTCAGCAGGACGCTCGCCTCGCTGAGCCGTCTCCCTGGTCACAGGCTCGGGGCTGTCACCGTGCAAGGTGGCCAAGGTGGCCCTGGGTGATGTGTGCAAATGCCCGGCTCACAGAAAGGACTCAAAAACCAAGGAAGTAATTTGGATTTTTATTCCCAGGTCTGTGTTTCCATTGTTTTAAAATTTATTTTTGCCATATACCAGAGACATTTTGCAGGGGGGGAGTGGGGAATGGGATCAAAAACGGGGGGGTGGGGGGAGGGAGGGAAATGCACGGGACTATGGTGGTGGCACAGGGGTGATTTGGTGATGGGAAACCCATGGGGATTACAATTGAGGTGAAAAAAAAATGTACAAAATGATGTAAAAATAAACTTTTGTTAAAAAAAAATTATTTTTCGCAGAACACCTTTTCTTGAGGTGAAAATCCCTCCAGACACCAGGATGTGATGAACAGGGAGGAGTCAGGGTGGGGCTGTGGCCCTGTCCCTCTGCTGCTCTCCCCTCACCCCCCAGGACAGTGGGGGCCCTGGCGGTCAGCCTGCTCTGCAGGGAGGCGAGACGGGCGAGGGGGAGGCGAGACGGGCGAGGGGGAGGCGAGACGGGCGAGGGGGAGGCGAGGCGGGCTCAGGGTCCCTGTCCGGTGGGCCCAGAACGCCTGGCGCACGGACTTGGGGATGAGACGGAGGCTCAGGATCTGCTCCTTACTGAGTGCACACCTGGGCGGGCCTGGGCCTGGGGCAGGATGCGCAGGGGCTGGGTGAGCCGAGCGTGGGGAAGCCCGGGGTGCTGGGGGTGCCCAGTGGTGCCCAGCGGAGTGAGCTTCCGGGCATCCTGGAGCAGCCAGTGCTTGGCTGCAGCTTGAAAAGGGTTAAGGGTGCACCTGGGGCCCTCCCTGGAGGCGCAGCAGCACCATGAAGCTGCCCACAGCCCCTGCAGCACGAGTTCGATCCGCGGCCAGGGAGGGACCCCAGGGCGCAGCAGACCTCTCCTGTCTCCCCGCTGCGCCCCTCAGCAGTGGATTTCGTCAGTCTGACTGCTCTGCTCCCCACTGGGTCTCTGGTGAATCTTCTCACCCCTCACCCTGCACCTCTGGCCTGTACCCCAGTTCTGTATGCATAAATAAATAAATAAATAAATGCATAAATCTTTAAAAAAAAAAGAGCCGGGGAAGTGCTGGGAAGGGCGCTCCAGGCAGAGAGAACAGCATGAGCAAGAGAGCACAGCAGCGCAGAGCACCAACCGACCGGTGGAGAAGTGGAAGCCCAGGCTGAGGAGAGGGAAACGGAGAAGGGTGGGAAGTGTCTCCACAGCCCACCGGGGCCCAGCCCGCCCCCGCCACTGCCCCGGCCCGGCGGCTGGCATTGAGGCGAACATACCTGTGACCTATGGAATTGGCAGCCAGAGGGGAGCAGGACACTGGCTGTCAATTCATAGGTCAGAGCCCTGTGCGCTCGGTCTCGGCAGCCTGCTGACCGTCTCCGCCGCCCTGGGCTGGGAGCGTGGCCTGGAGACCCCGTGGGCTTGGGGGCCGCAGCGCGTCTCCTCTGTGGACACCGGCCACCACCCCAGATAACAGCAGCCCCACTGGAACCAGTGGGCACTTCCACATGGAGTTGCTGTTACAAGGGGTAGAAGCCAACCGGAGGCCGGGCGCTGTCCACTGAGTCTTGTCCCTGGCAGAGGGTCAGCGCCCTGCACCTCCGCCTGGGCTGCCCAAGTTCTCGGGGCCCCGGGGCCCTGGCCTTTTTATTGGGGCTCCTTATCGCCAGGGCCCACACCTGGATCTAACGCCAGCCCTCCTCCTCTGGGCGAAGTCCAGCCTCGACACCAGATCTGCTCATAAAGCCGGGAGTGGCCCCCATTTACAGCTCCAGGCAGCCTTTGCCCGCGCTGACACCCCCACGCACTCTGCCCCAGGTTCCTTGTTTCCTCATTTCTTTCCCAACCAGAGCTGGGCCCCAGCTCCAGGTTTGGCCACCACGGCCTCCACCCTCTGCCCTTTGCTCACCCTTCCTGCCACAGCCACAGGGCAGCGGGACGGTGAGGGGCGGCTGGGCATCTGCCCCTCTCCGGGAGCCCCAAATGCCCAGGTGCCGGGGTGCGGCACCCCGTGAGAAGCTGCAAATGAGACCAAGAGAGAAGGGGTGCGGGGGACAGAGAAAGTGGGGGAATGAGGCAGAGAGCCCAGAGAGCGGAGCATGCGGAGAACTGGAAAGGAGAAGAGAACGGGCCCGTGCAGGATGCTGCTCGGCTCCTCTGCCCGGCCCGGCCGGCAGGCCTGGCGGGACGACCCCAAGCCAGCGGCCTAACCCCGGTGACCATGCTGTCCCCTCATGCCCAAACTGGGACCTGTGAGGCCCCCAGGCCCGGCTGGGAGGCCCTCAGCTTGTAGGCCCATCCGCCCTGGGGGAGGAGGGCGCTGCAGGCGGGTGGCCGAGCCGGCAGGGCCCTGGACGCGGCACTTTCTCTGTGCTGCTCACTCTGCTCTGAGCGCAGGCTCTGGCTGAGAGGCTCCAAGTGACAGGCGTCTGGTCAGCAAGGCGGCACTTGGCAGCCCCCAGAGCCGCTGGAGAGGAAGGGGAGCTGCGATGAGCTCTCAGAGGGGGTCAGGCGGCGCCCCCTTCCAGGAAGAAGCTGCCCAAGGTCACAGGGCGGGCCCTGGGTCCACCCTGCCGCGGCGTCCTCCCTCTGTGGCCAGTCGGGGTGGGAGAGGGGGTCTCCGGGCAGGAGCCCGCTGCCGGGAGGATGTGCCCGCTCCCCAACCCCCCCAAAAGAAAGTCTAGTGGGCCCTTCAGAAGACACTCGGCAAGGCCGGGTCCCCGACCTGGCAGCGGTGGGGACAGGAAGTCCACTGCCCATCAGGTGCCCGGCCCCTCATCCAGCAGAGGAAGGTGAGGCCCAGGCCGGCAAGGACTCGCTCGTCACAGACCGGCCCCTCTCCTGCAGGAAGGCGGCTTGGGGACACCGGGGCCGAGGGTGGCAGGGGCCCAGGGGTAGGAGCTTACCTGCGCGTCTGGCTGGCCCTTGGGCATGAGGAGGAAATGGAGACACCCTGGCCCAGGCCCTTTTGAGCCGTTGGCCCAGCCCTGGGCAGGGGTTAATCATTACCTGCAGCCTGTCAATACGGACCGCAAGCGCAGTTCGAAGGGCACGCCACCCTGGACTGTGCCCGGGCGGGGTGGGCAGGTTCCAGGAAGCTGGGCCCCCACCCCTCCCGGGGCATCAGAGCCCGGCCAGCACTCGGGCCCTGTCGGCCCAGCTCCCCAGGTGACCGTGGGCAAGCAGGAACAGCGGCCTGTCCTGGCTACCTGTGCCCAGGCCTGACGGGCGCCAGGGCCCCAAGGGGCAGCCGGGGCCCTTGCCAACTGCAGAGGGGTCTGCAGACGACCCCTGCGGGGGGAGCGATCACTGAGGCGCGTCTACCCCCAGCCTCAGTTTCCCCACGGGCCTGCCCACCGCAGGGTGGCACTGCTCAGTATCGCTGTTCACAGAAACAGGCGCGGTATGGGGCGGCACGGCAGTCTCTTCCCCACCCGTCCTAGGTGTGTCTTTAGGGGGCCCCTCTCCTCCAGTGCCCTGAAGCTGGGGCCCAGGGCCGAAGCTCCGGGTACCCCAAAAGCCTTTTTGCTACAGATGTGGGGAACAGCCTCCGGCGGGACGGCCCTTTCTGTCCTGGGCCGGCTCGGTGGGGCCGCAGGAGGGACAGAGACCCAGAGACCCAGGTGTGTGTGGGCTCACGGGGCCCCAC